GTCCACCACCTTCGCCAAGGAGATTTCCGTCCGAAGAGCGATGGAAATGTAGATGTCTGATCAACGTATTTCAAAGCATGCAACAGTAGACAGAGTTGATAGGTCTGCTAAGAATTCCGGGAATATACCGGACCACTCATTCAACAGCTTCAGTCTTGGAAAAAATATTATGATTAGGCGATTTTTCGTACCATGTGGAGATGAAGATGAATTCCCCCAGAAGGAACCAACCATTCAAAATATACACCTCAAGACCAGCTGGGAGTAGTGTTTTCTGACAGGTTATGCCCAAAGAGGATAGCCTATTTCGAGGGGTGGCTTGTTCTGAGGTAGATGGCTGTAAATAAATAAATAAAAATTGCCATAACGTGACGAGCCAGCAGATTGCCAAAAATCGATGGTTAGTAACGAATTTCAGCCAAGAATACGAATTAGTTTAGGTTATAAGTTTGCCTTTTTTGAACACTCAATCCAAACAGTGAGGGACTTATAGAGAAATGTATCTAAGTGTGCTGCAGGCTGCATAGGGTAGCTGAACACCAAAGCAGGTCAAATTGGAAAGAAATGTAAAAATTAAAATCATACAGAAAGTGGGACATGCTAGATGCACTAGCGTGCCGCATTTGTTGCAGCGTACACCAGTGTTCAACGCTTCTTGATGAATGTGAGATAAAAGTATGGTAAGAACTTCATATGGCCGCCAAAAATTCTTCGATAGCTAATGACCAGTTTCGCTGTTCTTGTGCTATCAGGTAGACCCTGTTACCGGTTGTGGATCGTCGATGCGTTTTCAGCGACTTTATGAGTAGCCTGTCACGTCCAGACAACAGCCTATTGGGAGATCATGAATACCAACTGAAGCGTTAAACGGTCTTTGTGCAGCACATTCAGTGGAAGCATATCACAAGCGAGAGATTCAGTTGTGCTTCTGGTGAGTCACCCGTGAGAACCAAATGGGTGTGCAAATTAGTGTATTTGCCGTATCCCTCTTTTTCACACTATCACATTGGCACAAAAAGCTAGATAAATTGAGAATTGCTGTGGAATCGACTTTCTTGATCTTACTTAAAAGAGGCTACCACAATGAAACAAAGAGCACCTTAGTCAACCTTGTCTTGCTCTAGAAACCACTCAATACTTAATCAACCCAGCGGCTATAACAATAAGGTACAGATACCTAAATCATCGAGGTACTCGAAGAGATGCCTTCCGGTAAAGGTTATTCCATCCTTAAGATCGTTAAGCAGGAATTAATGTCTCAGAACACCCAAAAAGAACTATTCTTTGGGGCCTCAACTGCTAGGTACCGAGAGTTGGAAAATACACCTCAACCTTCTTGCAAAGAACCTAAGAACCATAGATCCCGGCGTTGAAAGCATATGTCACTCCTTGGAAGAAGCATGACGACGGTCAGCAATTCCACTAAAATGGGACAGACGATAAGTCACCATCCCTGCTCCATCCCTACAACAGCTGAAAAAACGCGAATCGAGCCGATTAGTGTGAAGTGTATCAGCTAAAATAAGAGTTGAAGCCATCCACGCTTCCCTAGGCTACTTGCGAATTCCTCAGTCCACTACTACTGCAACCACGGGTGCATGGTTCCCATGGACAGGAAGACCCTACGAGAACAAAAATCGTTCAGGAATCCAGATTCGGATGCCTTGCTTTCCATTTAAGTGTAACGAACTTAGCTTGGCAGCACACACTGCCTCCAAACAGGGTTGGTGGTAACAGCGACCTTCTGTATTGTTGATGAAACTGTGGCTGGAATATGTATAGCGCTCCAGTAGTGTGACGTAGCGTGTGGCTGGTTAAACCTCTAAGTAACATCTCCCTGCAGTTTAAGCCAGTTTCCGCGGCTAACCGGACAGAGTTTGAAATTCCTGGATTATTAGATGGCACCAAACACCTAGGAAACACCCAGAAAAGTTCGGAACTATTGTCGAGAATGCTGGATTTCTGAAAGCTTATGCGAATAAGTTTTCTGCTTCAGCGTTCATGCTCTCGCATTCATTTCGTCCGTAATCCCAATATATATAATTCAGTATCCGGCCTGGCTTCTTTCATGCACGTTTTCGAGGTAGCCATCACATGGGTTCAACATTCCCTGGACGGTAGCCCGGATTGATCTCATTTCGGATCACCATCATTTCACTTTTTCCTGCATTTCTATCAGTTTATACGGACAACATTCCATCACCCATACCTTGAAACGAGACCATCCACTCATACCGTCACCGAACACTGCTGCAGCTGCAACACAACGCAAGACAGCTTAAATAGGCGCGCAGGGCTGATGTGTCTCGTACACGATCAATACGGATGCATGCGAAAGCTAGGCACACGTGACAAAGCGTACGAGATGTAAGCGCTGCAGCTGCCTGTTGGGCCTGTCTTCACACGCTCCTAACCTTCAGTCGACGGCCAATCAGTAATCAGCATGATCGAACGACACGGAACGCTCCAGGGCTACATGCGCAATCGCGACATGGTTTCGCATGCATGCGGTACGGGCACTGCGTAACCATAATGACTCACGATTCCGATGTGACCGCGCGGGGAATGAAAAGGTCTGCTAGGTATACATCCGAAGAGCTGAAGCTGTTAGCGAAACTCACGACGCAGGCTCGTGATCTTCTGTACCAAGAAAACAAAATGCATTTATTCCTGGAATATACTGTCTGGAATCAGATAGCTAATCACATGCATGCCCTCGGTTTTCCAAAGCGTTCGTGGGTCGCGTTAAGGATGAAAGGAGTTCGTCTGCTCACTAGCCCGGCAACTGAACGTCACCGTGCCGCCCTCTCCACCAGTTCAACAGAATATTCTTCCCACTCATCCAATTTCGTTAATACGCTTTCTTCAACAATTTCCAACTCACCCCATTGCAGCACGAGTACCAATGCTTTGAACTCCATTTCACCTGATGACAATCAAGTAGCAACGACACCTAATGTACCTTACACACAACCACCTCCGTTGCTCCCTTCTTCCGAGGCATCCGCAACAACACTTATGGCGCTAGCTGGCCGTGGCTGTTCACCCGATCTCACTTTTCTCCCATCCCAAACCAGTGTTATCCCACAGATTCTCAATGTGCGTTCAACAGCTCTGACCTCTTCCGGAAGTAACCAAAATTTAAACCTGGACTGTCCAGTATTCTCGCATGCGGATAATTTTATCGTAACATCTGCACTGCCTATTATTCTGAACACTCCCAATACGGCTCCTCGAAATCAACTCCGACCAGCGGTTTTGGATCGTTCTTGTCCTATACAGTTGTCAGTTTCCAGTGATGAGGAAGATAAAATAGTGACTGAAACTTGTAGCTCACAGAAGACCCTAGTGTCCTCACCATCTGTGCCATGTGTGGGATCCAGGTAGGTTGTTTATTGTTAAATCAAATTGCCCAATCTCTGGTTTCCTCTAAGTAGTCCAGTGTTCGGCCGTTCAATACCAAATGGGTATATCCCTCGTTAGCCCCTTTTTCCTACGCCTCAGAATGGCTTCTCGACAGACTCGCCTCAAATAGGGGATACTTCTTCTGCGCTGTCACCATATTTCATTTCATCATTATCACTGCGGAAGAATGTCAGTGTTCTGTGTGACCGTGTTCTAACCAATGCTCAAGTGCTATGTTTGTGGAGTTAATACATAAACATCTTATTGATCGCCAATTTAAAAAGTTCCCACAAAATTCCCATTTTCTGCCGCGAGTCGAGGTACATTGCATTCGCCGGGAGACGGATGATCAAGAATGGTGAACCAATCGCTGTAGAAAACAAGAGGGAGAAACCTTTAGGAGCTTTGTATATATCATATCGAAATTCACATTGAATCTACTGATCAGCTGTCGTGAAGGGTATCCATTGAAAATCTCTTTGTTCTTGGAAGTAGTGGGAGTCAATAAAAATCGTGGCTTTAACGATATGTCATGCGGTGTACTGGTAGGATTCGTAGCAATGCTCGTCTGTTGTTCGAACTGAATCGGTCACGCTCAACTCGATGCTGATGACGGTTTGTTCGTCTTCATATGCAGGCCATTCATGCAAGTCGTGCAGTTTTCCTTTATTTTACACCCACAGACGTCTGCTCAGGTGCAGGAATAGCATGGACGAAGCTGGTTTACTACGTCAGCCACCGTCTGATTCATATTCTCTCGTCGCTTTATGTTAAAAACAAGTATCGCCACACTGATGTCTGTCATTGACAGTCTTCCGGTCTACATTCGATACGTGGACAATGTGTTTATTCTATTAGGCTACGATGAGCAACAACGTAGGTTTAATTGTGCCCAGCAATCCATCTCAGTCATGTCAGACTGGAAAAAACAATACCGTTCCCTTCCTTGTAGTGGATCTAACTAGACATAGTCGTGATACGCTGTCGTGGAGAATTTCTCAGAAAGCGGTATGCATTGTAAGGTATACAAAGCCGCAGAGTTTTTGTTACCGGGAAAACCGGTTCGTCGCGCTCAGAGAAATCGCAATGCAGACGCGATGGAAAATGACTTCCCCAAAATAATAGGCAACATCTTATGGCATAATGGCTACCCCTGTATGTTCCCTAGCATTCAGGAAAGACCTGTTTCACAGGAGATACCACAAAAGTACTCCAACTAAATTCTTATGCACTGGAAACCTGAATAATATCTCCTACTCCCTTATGGTTTGTTTGAACCTGAATGACAAGGATCCTGTTTGAGGTTCATTTGTGGTGACTCATTCTTACGTGTGCAAGTGTTCCGCAGACCATGTGAATCGTACAACTCAACTAATTGCGAGGACCAAAGAACATCAGCCGAGTCATGTTAGAACGGGAACTGTCAAACACAATCCACATGCTGTTACCAATCGCCCACAGTACGTGTGATATGATTGGACTGATCAACAGGACACTGGCAGTGGCTCGTTCCTCTAACACCGCATTGAGGACCCGAGCAGCTCATTCCTTTTCCGACCGTCCAGTCGGCACATAGTTTCCTTACGGAATGTGTCTGTACGTAACTTCGACTACTGCACGCTTGGAAAGTCATGGTCGTCACTCATCCCGGTGTCACAGGCCGATTCAAACCAGGATTTCAGTCCTGTTCCGACGGTGCACTGGCGCAGCTCAGCTGGATTGTCCAGAATGCACTGCCTCCACTCCTGTGGGGGGACGTGGCACAAACAGACCATGTTAACTGTGTCACACGGCGACAGACTTGGCAATGAGTGCGGACGGACACACTCGGTTGACAAAGCCCGTCCAGGCACGTAGATTGAACAATCGATGGTCTCCTCTGGGCTGCCCGCGTGAGGCGAGCAACCAATTATACAAAAGACGGAACGAAATATCCCGTTCAAACTGTAATCGGTCCCGACCGCCAAAGACAGACTACAGTTTTGTACTAAACAGTCAGTTGGTGGTAAGCATAGATGTGTCATATTGTGCGTTTTTTTGATGGAACAACTCTAAGCTCTTTCGGAATGGCACAAATGCGCTTTGCCAGTTGATTACCAGCCGACTACACCTATTTGCAAATTAAAGTGGGTGGTAACGAGGGACTCAACTGCATCCCAAACCGGATCATTTATGATTTATCGTTCAAGTAAATGTGCCGCACAAAGACTGCTTCATGTTTCAGTTGGCACGGGATATCACAGTGTATTTTCTTGATTGAACACAGCTCATAAGATTGTTGAAAACTGCGAAGAGAGTCGGGTTTGAACCGTCATGCCTTCCAAACTAATGCTCTACGTATCACGACCCACCATTGTTCAAGAAACCCGATTCAGCGCGCCAATAATCCAGAGAACCAATGACTGGCTTACATTTATTTGGTGCTTCGTCTATCTTAACATTACATAAAACGTCATACTAAGAGAATACCAAACGAATAACTTTAGCCTCGCACGATACGATTTAAAAAAGTCGATCGTTTTACACAAACGCGGTAAACTGGTGTTTTGTCAAGGAATATGGAAAGGATGAAAAATGGATCGTTTGTTTGGCTTCCAAACTGAAGGCAAGAAGCCGGTTCTCAAATCTATACGGCATCCATACGGCTCTTCTTATGTGGCAGCAGATATGAACATCATCAAAACTAACCCAGTGTCCTCCGGTTAGAAAAAAATTGAATCGAATATTTGGGAGCGAAGTCTTATAAGGCGCCATTCGAAGATAAGACAGTAAGTTGTCTCCTGCCTCCAAGTACTTGCACTCCTTCATTGGGACTTCTTACACGATTCGTTCCACCGCACGTTTTATCAACAGTCTTCCTACCCTATCTTATCTTATTTGGTCTATACTCAAGGGGAAGCACTCGACTTGAATTTCATTCTCACATACCAGAATTCAAACTACGGGTATCGTCCGACTTACTAGGCGACCATGTTATCAGTGATGCAGCCCCATACCTCAGACGTGCCTGAATTGAGGCTGAGAGCGTATGTTTGAGGCGTTTGGCCTAACACATATCAGTCAACTTGAACCCATTTACCTGCTCACACGTAAAAATTCACGTATGTTCAGCGTGCATTGGTGAAGCAGTGATAAAGCGCTAGCCTCATGTCAGATATCCGAAGTTGGGGTGCTGGTGTGCTTGGGGATATCCATCGCTGCTCCAGCGCGGCTAAGCTTCGACGACAATGCTCCCCCTCTTTGTGCAGAGCGGCCAGTGCAGGGTGAGGACTGTTCGAGCGACAATAATAAGTTTTCAAAAATCGGCATATTTTATATCGTGCTTTTGGACCGCATTTCATATTGCTTGTAAGTCAATTCCTCTTTATCAAATTTGACTGAGAAACAACCCGAATTTGACTCTAGATTTCAAAATGTTCTTGGCCTGTTCATAGACGCATATTTAACTTCCTTTAAGCTGGCTCATAGTATCAGGTAGAGACTTGAGATTACATTACAAAAGTTGCCTTAATACTCAACAATCCAGCGGTTCCTCCGATGAGTACCACATCTGGAACCTTGTTGTAGAAGCCTCTCCTGATGGGAGGTTTCCGTCCGAAGAGACCTTCGGGCCAAGTGTCCTTGCGTGGTGACTGAATGGCCTTTGAGTTAGGTGGTAAATTTATGCAGACTTCGTGTGTCTGCTTGTATTTCAAACTGTTCCTTCTCTACTTTAACTGACTGTATTTCTCTCAATGAGGAATAAACACGGGATTCTACTCGGTTTCACGCTACTCACATTTTTGCGGAAACCCACTAACTGAAGTAGATACCGTGAGACCGTTTCTGTGATTCTAGAAGCAGTTTGCTGTTACTTAATGTTCGTTATCTTACTTTTCTTTAGGCTGTTTGACTCTTTCCATCACCTAGAGGACATCATCTATATTTTATCGTACGATATAAATTCCTTAAAACGACAATTCGTTATATTGATCAGTTGTAATACTGTCTGTAGTTGAACATAGTCTAACGGTAAGAGGACCGGCTATTGTAGTCGCACATGCCAATGGAATGTACAGGCGGGACTTCAAAATAGGATGGTTTATAAGCAGTGTGGTATTTTTCGATGTCCTGGTGAGCGGCGTAATCGAATTGTATTTGTTGTCAAAACGGAACTTATTTAATTCCAAGTCTAGAAGTGGATATATCGGTTCAGGCCTCAGTTTCCGTAAAGCAAATCTATCCTATGGCACCAACAGCCTCCGGAGGCAAACCGATCATCAATGTAGTCGACCCTCAGTTCCTAAGCGCGATTAAGAGGACATCCTGAGTTGGATGGCTTAGCGCTATCGAACTACTATCGTATATTATATACACTACGGGACTGCGGTACCACTAGTCATGCAACTTCCACGGCTAACCACCTGGCTATCGACTCCCACCTGGTAATAGGCATCCTCTTGGAGAGCACTGTCATAGTGCGCTAAGGTCAATGAAAACTCTTCAACAATCCACGGCCGGTTTCGCCCATCTTGGAGCGTAACTGAATATGTTCTACGAGTTTCGGGCAAGTACAACGCAAGGTTGACGGAAACTCGGGGATTGCGCCTAGCTGTTGGTCCCAAGAAGGGCGAAACAGGCCATGGGCTATTGAAGAGTCTTTAGCAACTTTATGGGTAGTGTCCCCTCTAGAAAACATTTGGCGATTTCTCGAAAACAGCACTAACTGAAACCTGAAACAGCCTTTATGCAACACATTCAGTCAAAATAAGTATAAAAACGAGTGACTCAGTTGGGATTTGGGTGAGTCTCCTGTAGTAACCAAACTGATATACAACTGAGTGTATTTCGCGCATTTTCATGATAATTTATCTGGAGGAAGTACTCTATCACACAGAAACTTGGATTTGACAGATGAGGCCACCATTTTGGTATAGAAGAACCAATTTCGGAAGAAACTGTTATAATATCATGCCTGGAAGGTCTGATGGCTCATTAACAGGCTTAGGTCTGTTCGCGGGCAGACTCGATTCCATTGGTATTCTATCGCCATTAGCGGCTTGTGCGTATCACCCCATTTGGTGACATCCAAACCGCTTGTGATTTAGATGTTATGCATAGGCTTACAGTGGATCCACCACTGCTCATCGGCAGATCTGGTTCGGACACTGGTTAGACGTATATACCATATGAATTGAAATAGGCTTTTGATTCCGACAAATCGCTTGGTGTGCACACCTGATGCACAATGCTCGTACCTCCAAGACTCGGGCAATTCGATTAGATATCGGAGCACCCAGTGGGCGTGGTGCTTAAAGCAAAACACATACGTGCGTTCAGGACAAAATGACTCATGCTAAGCTTTCCCCCCATGTTTGTGCATGCAGATCGTCACGCAATTGAATCAGATGATGGATTACTCAACAAGGTGGCAGTGTGAGGAGAGCGCATTGGAGATGTCTCCTCGAATGGTGACGAAACGTCTGCAAATCAGTTTCCAAGCTTGGCGAACAGATCAACAGCCACCTGATTAATTACTAAGATTTGAATATTCAATTAAGTTTCGTCCCGTAATTGGAACCAATATATGCTGAGAGGTACTGCACAGCTGCTTCATCTCTATTGAGAATAATCAGCAGTGCATACCTCACGAAAACCCAGGGAGTTTCGGGTGGCCAAAGATGATCCTCAATTTGCGCATGTGCCACCAGAGAACAGCTAGCGAAAAACCGATGACTTTCTGTGCTTATACTCTAACCCATTCATAGGTAATTTTTATGAGTTTACTCCGGTGTTACGTAGCTTTTTTGACTGAGCTGAACAGTCTACGTTTTGCGTGTGTTGGAGAGGTATCCTCCATTCCTGATGACATGACCATCCAGGAACTTGTGTCAATAAAAGCTGATTTAATAGCTGCACAAAGGAGTCAGCATCGGGCTGTTCAACTCGTCGACACTTGAAACGGCCTCAATGTTGACAAGAACAATTAAACCAACCACCGTTTAGTTCACATCTCAAGTTACATCCCATAATTCGTTGTAATGCACGAGACCACTTATTTGTACAGTATGTTTTTTGTCAGCGTCGTTAGTCAGCTTCAGGAATGCGCATTAGAGTTAACTGTTTCAGAATCCTGGTTTATCCTTTCCTATGCCGAGGAAGATACGCGTCTCATGATTTCCTAAAAGAGACGGTCCATTTTGGGAAATAGTACTATGGTGCATATAGTGCTTCTATTCTTGCAATGCCTGGATGTACGAAGTTAGACTTTTACGGGGTAATGTGTCCGTATCGTTTAAGGTAAATTATTCTGGATTCGCACAAATGACATCTCTCTTCAGTGCACACTTCAGCGCTATGATATCGGTAGCTGTTTGATGAATTTGTGATAATTTTGGGCCATCCACTACTCTATGTAATTCGGGATCCATTATAGTTTTCAGTTTTACGTCCGCCGAAGTAATTGATGAATCCTTCTTTCGTGAGTAGATTGAAATTTTCGGTTGGTCGTAGTGTATAACTCAGAATCGACTTCAGTGGGAAACTATTAGGAACACCCGTACTGTGGTTAACTTTCTGATATTTTTTTAGGTGTTATCGCTAACCTGCAAGTTGGAGTGCCCAGTATTGAATTTAGATTTTGTCCTTTCCATGAATACTGGCTAGGGGTGTGTGATATGCTAGTGAACTGGTAAAAATATAATGATCATTCGGCTGTAACACCCATTCGGTGCTGTGCTACCCGAAGGAAATACGAGGGTTGGGATGCTGCCAGGTTGCCCAAGCCTAGACAGAAGCAATCGAAATGTCGAAGTTGGGTTCGAACCATGGACTTTCCGTTCAGTAAATTCGCATCTCAACCACTGGGCTCTCTGGAGCTCAAACAGGTGTGTCTTGACGCTGGAGACTTCAAGAATCTAATGTAACAGATCTTCCCTTTCACTCTGGGTCTTGTTCCGCTCGGCTAGAGGTAAAGGTCTGGAAATCTATTCAATCAACTTGGCCACTCCTCGCTTGTCGGCCTTGGACAGCATGGCTCGAAATTCGTGAGAGGTGGATCGTCCGTTACAATAACAGGTTTCTAAGGGCCGTAAATCACTAACACATTTGGTCCAGCGATCTCTTTCATGGCTATTTGGAAGCACTACCCGGCTCCGTGCACTTCCTCACCATGCCTAGGAAACTTGTTCAAGGTAATTGATTTAGCATGGTGATCGATTAGGGAGTGAGTATTTCATACCGACTAACCATATCCAGAAATAATATCAACTGGTGTCGATTCAAGATCTCTGGGGCCTCTAGCATTGAACTCGTCTTCTTTTCAAAGGTTCCGGGTATCCTGTGCCAAATCGGAAACCCAAGTGCTCCACGTGATCTGTTGGGGGCCACACAACCACGAAAATATCCGAAAGAAAGGACTAATTCGGGTAATATGATGTAAGCGGACGTTTTGACGACATGGATAACCTTTGCTATAGATTTTAAGTCGAAAGGCATATACATAGACAGAATAATTGAGTACGTTTCACATCCCGTTCCCTCTCACTCATCTGGGTCGGGCGTTCGGACCACATCAACACCGTATCACCAACGCTTAATAGCGCTAGTGGTTGACACAAGCTTATTCGACCGTTCATCCTTGAAATCAACTTTCGGTTTTTCATCCTTGGTAAGGATAACCTGCGTCCGTGGAAAGACTTTTTCGACCAAGCTAGTGTAATTTATCCGAATCGCATATAAACCCTGCAGCCCGCATTCCCTTTGCAGGACAAAATGACCCCCTTAAAAGCGCAGAGCTTTTTCCGCGTGGAACGGTTTGTGGTGATGTTGATACTGTGTGTATGCGGAAGGACGCATCTCGAGTTAATTAAGAGTAAAACGTATTCGAGTTTGATGCATGCTGATGATGAAAGAGCGAAAATTGTTGGGTTTGATCAGTCATTATTTGAAAGATCGTATCTAAATGATACATCTGATAATGACACAATACCTGTGTCGACAAAGTCATTCCTGATTTTTCTAGATGCTGTTCTGCATTCGCCTTTTTTTATCCACATTTCAGCACTTTGAATGTCAGGCAATTGATCATCATTTTCCAGTCGTCGATTGTTCGTAATCAGAAGCGATTATATTAGCCATCCTCGTTCTCAATGAGTAATATGTGTCTCTTTTCGTACCTCCGCTTTTTTGCGTCTCAGATGTCGTGATGGTCTAGGAGCAAGCACACAAGGGAATTCGGATCAGGCTCAATTAGAGATGCAAGTTTACCGCAAGAAGCTGGAGGTGCTTGAAGTAAAAAAGATGTATTGGATGGAAAAACTAAAAAGGCTCCAAAAAGACCAAGGATTGGATTCATCTGAACTATCCGGAGTGTAAAAACCATTCCGGAGAACGAGGATGACAACGCAGCACATGGTTGTTTATTATCCTGGAATTCCTTTTCAACGAGAATCCTCTCCGTGTTTTTGGCTGTTTGACATTATTACTGCCATCAAACTGCCATGTACATATGTTCTTTCAATACAACTCAGCTTCCTTCGCATTTGTTTCTGTTGTGAGCAATCGTGATTTGTGTTATTAGTTTTGACGATTTCTACAAAGTATCCGTCATGGTAAAAAAACTCCCGGCGCCATCGGGAAAAACGAAAATGAGTAGCCCAAATCAGCGTTCATTCGAGTCACGTCGGTGACATCTTCATATACCCAGAAAGTGAATATTCTGCAAGACTGTGCAAAGATTGGAAATGAAACTATTGAATGCATATGAATATGGTGGAAAGCGACGGTCGGTTGTTAATTAACTATCACGATATGAAATAGGTCACGTCACTGAAGATGCTGTAAAATTGCTTTCAAAGCGAGCGCACGATTTGGGTGATTGCACTCTCAGGATAGGCTACATTTTGGAGCAAGGTCGATTACGTGTTTACATCGCATGCATTACAAACAATGAACTTTATAGGTTCAACTGACATCCCTCTAATCATGTTCCACGTTCGTTTTGAACTCTGGGAGGGGGGTTAGGACCTGTACAAAAATCTATTGACCAGTTCACATGCCGACGAATATGCATTGGCCAGGTGAAGTTAACTTGAGGTCACGGCAAATGCCACGCCCTCCCGGGTAAGCTGTTTTGTTGGATCACTATTGATGATGGGGCATTAAAACTGTCTCCTCGACACACATGCTCTGACCCTTTAATTCCGGTGAGGACGGTGGAGTAAAAGTCATAGTCATCCCGAAAACAACAGCCAGTTACTTTGTGGCCCGTTAAGGAATGGATGGCCTACTGGAGCTTACCTTGTATACTATGCCAGGCTGAGAGGATTGGGAATACTTAGTTATTGGAGCATCACTTTTCTAGGATGCTGGCATTCAGTGGTACTTTTCTGGACTATTACTTTTGGGCCCTGTTCACCTCGATTGGATAGCCGCATCCGAATTACTGCACCCTATCACAACTGAACATCGGTCATGGGTATAATACACGTGAACTGATCTTCGGTCACTGTATTAAGCCTCAAGCGTTCATTTTCGTTGATCGCGCTGGCATACATGATGAAATTCCCACTGCTATGCACGCAAGTCGCACGCACGCTGCACGCAGCAAGTCGCAAGCACGCACGTCGCACGCACGCACGCACACCGCACACACATGCGCGCACACGCACACACGTGCGCATGCACACATACACACAAGCGCCCACCTATACACTCACGCACACACCACTGAACTCCATAGGACTACGGACAACCATGGAACACGTGTAACAGTTATACTGGAGAGCAAACACCTGCGTCCGGCGCTTCATTCAAGAATTATTACCACCTACGCTTAAACGACTATTTTGGCACTGCGTTTATATTATGCAAGGTGCATCTAGAAACTGTAAGCCATTGTTTTGCACGGTATGAACCGATGTTCGTGTCTATCACCTTCTGATTCTTAATTTGACCATTTACAAGATCTTATGCGTCCGCGAAACTGAGGTCACGAGTGTTCCGTGACCGACGGTGTAAAATTTACGAACCAATCTTGCCCAGCCGTCTTCACCTTCTGTGGTATCAATCGAACTTTCCATGCATCATCAAACTAGACAGGGCCGGTTTGAAAAAGCCTTCGGCTTTCGCGCTTTTTCCCAAACGGCTTCCGTGGTTATAGGAAGAAAGACATCGGGGAATAAAACATGAACCTACCAAAGCTGTCAGCTGATCGTATGTGGCCAAATGGAATGTAGTATGGACGGATTTGGAGAATTCGCATGCCGCAACACTGGATAAACCCAAACAGATGGTTCTAGCAAGATTCGGGTTAAATCTTTACATGGTCGTCTTAACACGAAAAATTGTGCAGTGAGGGTGCGTGTGTAGGAATCCAAGTGATAGAGTGCAGCACAATCAAAGAATAGAGATTACACGGTGGGGGGGGGGACCGAGTAAGGTGTCAGAATCGGTGTGGTTACTTTTACGCTGTGACAGAACCTTGTTAGTAACGTCAACATTAACCTGAGCTATCCTAAGTTTTCACTTATTCTTCCCATTTAGTGGGAGAATACTATCCGCAAATTAAGAGAGTCCGGAAAGTGTTCCCCAGTTGTTAGAACGATCCCCATAGCAAAAGTTCCAGAGACCGATAGACATTTCGACCTTGGGAGTATTCCTTCGTCAGGGGATTCCTATAAAGAAGCACTAGATATAAATGGCTGGCATCCAGGTAGGATTTGCTGGCCAACAGTAGTCCAACTGCCAGACGCCCGTTCACTGGTGATTCGCAGCCGGCTAGCTCGGAACCGGATGTAGTCCTGCATACAAACTCTTGGCGTCCACTTGAGAGATTAGGCGAGGTGAGCGAACATGTCTAGGAATATTACAAGCAATCTTCTGGCCTAAACATCATGACATGACAAAGGGTATGGACATCATCAAGGTTCTATTGTCAAACGTCCATCTTTTGAAGTTCAGCGGTATACTGTACTTTTCACAATGCGCTGAAACTTTACCTCTCGGGTTGCATAGACCTAGTCCTGATCGGAATCGCCTTAAGAATGGCACCAAAGAACGATTCCCGGGAAGCGCCACCAGTGTGCAGTAATGAAGAAGCAGGAGAGTTATAGTGCTCATACTGATGATAATGCTGTTGTATTAAGGTATCAGACAGCATCGTGCCGGTTATCATTCTGATTATCACCATTTTCCTTCTCCTTCTCCTCCTCTTCATTGTCATTCTCATCACATTCTCATCATCAACATCTTCATCATCACCATTTTCTAATGCAGCGAATTAAAGGTCGACTCTGATGCCTCGCTGGCCTAAAATTGCAAATTAATTAAGGCCTTCAAATGAAAGAAAAAAAGAGTGGTTGAAGATGGGATCTGGTGCTATCTGAAGCGCTTACACTACTGAAGGCTCACTCAGAAAACCTGAAAAGATGCTGTCAACTGGAACTCCACTGACATCGAGTAGCTGCAATTTCTTGCAGTCTCGAGCCAGGGTGGGTCATAGGAACCACTTCCTGGAGGGAGGACTGCAGCAATAACACCCAACTTCTTCACGATCTCTTTTGCTTCCTTCTCTCAAGTCACGCGTTCTCAGATTGCGGCATTTTGAGTGAGGTATGGAGTGCAACATTCGTCTTAGTAGACAGTGGCCGAGCCACCGTAGCCAATGGTGCTGAATGTTTTCCGTATTGAAAATCAGGCTAGACAACCAAGTACCCGTTTTCGAATTGCCTTGATGTGAATCCGTCAACGTCATCTGACACCAGCAACAATTCTGAGATATTGGTGATAAAAAACTGAGGACGCCTCGAATTATCTGTCCACACAGGCCATGTCTCGCAAGCCATACAACAATACAACCCTTACTGTAGCCTGGCACATGCGAACCTTGAGATTCAGTGATATGCCCTTTTGGCGCCACAAGCGACGCAAATTAGAAAACATGATTTGAACCTTCGAGATCCGTGCTTTGACTTTGTCAGATACACTTCCATCAGAGCTAATACAACTACCGAAGTAATTAAAATTCCCTACAACTCCCGGTGATTCTCCTTGAATTGTAAGGAGCATATACAGAGACCACACGTTCTCGAGTATGGCTCTACACTTGTTAGGTGCGAGGCTCATGCCGTAAATAATAACAATGTTTGTGCTCGGCCTTCGTCTTCAGAGATGAGGACGGTGTTTTCTGCGCGATTCAGATCTGAAAGGTTTCCACCAGCAACGAGTTGAACACCGAGGTTTTGAATACCCTTCAGCATTCTTATACCTATTTGACGGATAACTAATCCGAACAAAAATAGAGAGAATGGACATTCTTGTCGGACACCGCTTTTTGTAGAGAAGCGTTTAGAGAACTCATCCAACACTCGCCAGACACGCACTCTGAAGTATAATAGTATAAGAAACCAACTTTCTAGACACTCCTTTAGTCAAAATCAGGGGACTGATTTGGTCCCCGATAGATTCGATGACGAGAGGCGTCCGTGGACCAGTCAGACGAATCAAGTGGAACAGCCTGCTGCTGCCAGAATTCCTCGCGCGCTGTGATAGGGGAGAAGAGGAAATACGTGTGGCGTGTGTTCGCTACGCTGATCTGGCATGATAACATTTTAGACGTGAAGTTCTTGGCTGTGCACAGAATGGGATATTACCAGGGATTCTACATCCATATAGGAGGACAATTAGGACCATCCAAACAAAAACACTCGCTAAAAAACCTGACTGCAAGACAGCTGGTGGGTGCGGGTGTACTACCACAATAGTATAATTGTCTTAAGAAAACAAGTCGCCTAACATGTTCCAACCCCCCAATCTACAGGACCAGAAAGCTGTGTTCGACAAACTCCTGCCAACTGATCAAGCTGGTATGAGAAACTCTGTCGATGTTAAAGCGACCCCCACAGTAAATTTCAGTGCGTCATAGAGATACACAAAGCACCACACCACAACAGAGTCCAGCCATACTTTGGTGGCCACTTAACAGAAAAAATGAGCGAATCTTCGACGAGCTTTCTGAAGCTGAAGTCACTCGAACTCAATTGATATTTTGCATATTGCACTTGGAATAATTCGGATTGCAAGCGAATTTCAGGTAATTACGTTCACTCAAAGCTAAAAATGATGCATTTTCTTGACATGAGCGGGTCTACCTTCCCCTTAACATTAAACTGAGTTGCATACGATTAGACTTTGTATCGGCCACTCACTAGATCACGCGTCACAAAAACCCAAATTACGTAACAAATCCTGCCCCGCTTGTGAACTTCGCCGACAACATGTACACTACAATTTCCCATCCATTTTTGTTTACGCTACTATCTACGTCGCACGCCAGGCTGACGCACTCCAACCACATGAGATCTAGTTGTATTTACGATCGTGCAATTATCAAGCACGAATGGACACTCCTCTCTTCACACAGCACAATATATAGGTAGGCAACTCAGCTCGAATACGCTACGCACGCCCGCACGCACGCACGCACGCACGACGCCCGCACGCACGCACGACGAACGCACGCACGACGAACGCACGCACGACGAACGCACGCACGACGAACGCACGCACGACGAACGCACGCACGCATGCACACAGGACAGGACAGGAAGGCAACCGAGCTCCACAGGTCCCCACGGGCAACTACGGAACACGTGTAGCAGCTGTACTGCAGAGAAGATACGTCCCGCGTCCGGAACTCCATTCAAAAACTCTCAACAGTTGTCCTCAAACGATGTCACTTTTCGGCTTATTCCGTTCTTGCATTGTATTTATTTTTATCAAGTGCACATAAATTTGTAATCATCATGATTCTGGTAAAATAGACATTTGTTAGTGCTTGTCACTTTCTGATAATAAACCGTATTGCGTTACAACCAGATCACTAACAAGTTCGCCAATTAAAATACAGTAGTTCGCGTTGAACAATCTTATTATCGACATTTATCAGCCGCAGTTGTGCACTGAAGAAATTTTTCTGATCAGGGCTGTCGCATGAGAGGCTTACCAGCTTGTTTCCTGTAATTGCAACTACCAGGCAAAAAAAGCGCGCCTTTGTCAGCCTTGAACACAGAGGCGTATTCGATCAATCTCCGCATCAGCTTTGTCTGACAATTATGTGGAACTAGGTCAAATCTATACATAGTTTCCTCGCCTTGTGATACTTTATCTGATTGATTTTAGTGCAGCGCAGTTAATCGGCTGACACCGATGCATTCTCCATTTTGCCAGTAGAGTGGAGGCAGACAAAAGGTGCCATGAACACTCCATCACCGTTTCATTCCACTCACGTGACCAGGATGCATTAGTCTCGTCTACGCCACAGACGTTCGAAAAAAGCACTGCGTCTACTTGTATCTGAGACCAGTATGAACCGGAAATATCGATCGACCTTCTTAAAACAAGTCTCAAAGTCAGCGCTTAGTTATCAGATGTAACGGATGTATGTAAACGGATCCACTCAGCCGCGAGGCGCCGGACCAATCCACCATGCGCGTCTGATACCCATGTGGAAAATTGAAGTAGACTTGTGCCATCTTAAATGCGATTGAGCCGGGCTACATGAAGCGCAGGGCGTAGTTCGAGCGTACACAGGCTGTGTGGATGGGAAGGCTGTTCAGTGGAAGAAAACAGAAATTGATTTAGTCGGTGTTTCGATACCGAGGCTTTCACAGATTCCAGACATTCCCATTCTCTCAGCCTGAAAGGCTGAGAGCAGTATCTAACGTAATCTAATAAGTATGGTGTGCATGAACAGGAAGTGGACTGAGAGACGGCATTGGCTACCTGTCAAGGGACAACCAATTCAAGTCACCAGTAGGATGACCTGAGTTTGTCAGAGCATGCAGTGCTGTGGTTGTGTGTTCAGTACAGGGTGTGCTTGGGGAAAAGGTGAGTTGGACCACGACAAGTACAATATGCGTACAAAGTGTTTTTACCGACAACGGATCGGGTCGCTTCAGCCACTGCGATTGTGCTGTGCTGTACCGATCTGGGTTGATTAGCAGGCGCCTTGTAAACAATGGGGAAGCTTTGGTTGGGTATCGCGCTCTGCGCCGTCTACTGGATGTTGTACAACCGAGATTGTTATCGTCCTAGCCTGGGTGGGTTGTGTTTCTTCATTCTTTGGCCGAATTCCCTAGTCATGCGTCCAATGTGTCACACAGCAACAAGCGAATGGGTACACTAACATATTTCGGGCGTGGAAAGGCCCTCTATCTTTGAGATTAAAGGAGCACAGACGATTGGTTGTGAACGAGGTTCGAAGTGTTGCGGCCGGGAGAACCTTGTTCAAACTGATGTAAGATTATTTGTTCAGTAGGTTGACCGGTATATCGTCATTAAACAGGATGCTTATGTAAACGGGTTTCTCTCAGCTGTGGCGGTGACAGTGCTGGCTTCTCTCGTGTTCAAATGTTTTTTGTAATATAATGTCTGGGAGCGCATCGGCTCTCAGAACATTGGTGATATTTGGGATTTCTGGTTCCAGCGCATCATCATGGTATATTTTTTCGCTGTGTTAGTTAGGCTGCCTTAGTGGCACGAAGCTGTTAAAGTGGATGTATTGCTCGGACCAAGTAGGCTTTCGGTACACTGGTAATTTCAGTACATCATTGTGAGGTTGTTCAAACCCAACATCTAAAAGGTGGAAGAATTTACCGGTTTCTACTTCTTAGGTGAGCTGGATGGCGGTGTGGGCCTTATTGAACACTTCCTGGAGCGACTCCGTTCGGTTTTACTGTTTAAAATCGTGAAAATGTCGTCCACTTATCGGTAGTAGTATTGTGTCTTCTGTATGCTAGTTTTTAAGAGACTATTTATAGATATTACTTCTATTCCGACTACGGCGTGATTCGATGACCAGTGGCTGATGGCGGTTTGCTAAACGGGGAGATTTTCAAAATAGAAAAACAGCCCCAATTTGACGACATCTAATAGATGAACACGACAATTTTCGTAACCGAAAATTGGGATATGGTCCTGCTTCGTTGCAGACGGATGAGAGGGACGTAAGCTTGTGTTTCCACCAATGGGCGCCTTGTCGGTGACATTACATACCTCTTTCAAAACGTTAGTTTTAATACGAAGGTATGAACAAAAAAGAAAGTAACCAACACCGCACCCAACACTGAATGTTCAGATTGATTCACTTATTTAGCTACTGAAACATTGTGAGTAGATTATTATCAATCCGTTCGATACCCCCACACGGGTGAGCCCCAAAACTGTACCTCAAAGCACAGAGGAATCTCGTTCCAGAAGTTTCCTCAGGTCGCAACTAAAAGGACACTTCACGTAGATAATTTTGGAACCAACAGAATGCAGTGTTAGGTTATTCATATGACGATTCACCGCGAATTGCTGTGGATACACTGGCCATACGGCATAAATATTGCGTTACCGAGTGCAGTTTGAAGCAGGTACTAAAAATTCGGCTCAAAAATATCAAGTTACTTCCAATATTCCTGTTATATTCACATAACGGCATCAGGCTCTGAAGCGCACAACGGCTGAGAAACCGTGCAACTTTTTGATTCCCTGCTAAGCTTCACTCTCCAGAGGATCATACTAATGCGTGACTACAATGTTAAATAAGCCCTATGGATGATAATTTTGAAGTGCTTTGAAGCTGTTTTTTGATCCCGCGACATTTGTATACTAGCATTTTAATTCTTTGCAACTTTTATGTCGATTTACATTTTGTGGTATTTGGGTACATAATCCATTGATGTAAATAAACCATTTGTTTTACCGATCTGCTTTGAAAGTTTTCCTCTGAATCCTTTCAGCTGTTGAGTTGAATAATTTATCTATCTGGAAGATTATAACTCTCTCTCTGTGTAGAACTGATCGATTTGCTCATCTAAGTCATTAGCTGGTTCTCAAACATGGTAAAACTCATTTTTGTCTTCCGTCAGCTTCTCCCCGTTCAAGTAATTGTTGCTTCGACAACTGCCGTAAAGTGCATCCTCTTCTGACCTCAATAACCAATTCGAGAAAACGTATGCTTCAATAGCCCTAGACCTACAGCATAAAATATCGTTTAAGACCTTCCACATCCTTCCAGCACAAAATTGTGCTTAGTAGTGTTCAGAGAATAAGGCTGGTTTGGCAATCATTAATCCGACTTCAGTAATTACAGCCATCTTCTCTAGTAGCCTATCATACCGGTAGGTACCTAGCTCGCTTCACTATACGAAACATGATATCATGACAGAATGGAAAATTTACGAATCATCTCATCTAAACCCCGTCATCCTCATTCGCAGAAGTATACCAGAAACCAGTGTTTCCGATGTCAACACAAAGCAGCAATCAGTGGGTATCCGTATTCAAGCCTCCTTATTTAATCACACGTATTGCAGTCATCTATGATGTTTCCAAGCCCCACTCTTTTGAAGGCACATGCTTTGATTCCTTTCAGAACTCATTGTGGATTTCAGATTCACTGAACCACAGTTGTTCCGGAGTGATGAGCCAGAATTCTTTACTCCAGTGTCTGGCTATCCAAACAGAGGATGAATCGCCTTTTGCTTTGTTTCCACATTTGACTAAAAATGACCTTAGTTGTACTTCGTTTTAGCATATGATAAGTCTAAAAAAGTTCTAATGTGACAAAGTGATGAAACCAAACGGAGAAAAACTGGTTCCGCGATTTCCTAGTGCTTCGTTTTCACATTACAACATTAAAACGGAACATTTTGTCGGGTTGAACTCATTTACATAAAAGTTCACGAGTCAGAATGAGTAGGGAGGAGATAGTTGTATTTTTCAGTCTTGTAGGCTGTGCTTGTTGTCTCATGTCTGGTTCACCGAGATGAGATTAATTTTATTAAAATTCCACCCGCAATTCCATCGCGAATTCAAATGTTTCACACTGCGTCCCCATGAGTCTGTCATGTGTGAATTTCGATCATGTTTATCGATACGTGTCTCAATGTGAGAAATAAACCGGTTATCATCATCCTAGTCTTAGAGTCAGCACTGGCTTAATTGAACAATCTGACTTTCTGTCATACGTGAAATCTGTGCCAGCTATCAACATGTTCCGGAAACAGTTTTAAAATAATCACGGAAAATAACTACTGATGGACTATGAAGGAAACTACTCACAAGATTGCTGGAAACTCTCCCACAGCAACCTGTGAGTAGTTTTCCTTCATGAAAATATACTGCGATATCCCGAATATCGTGCCAACTGAATCATGAGGCAGCCCGTGTGCAGCACATTCAGTTGTGGAATATCATAAACGAGAGATTCAGTTGAGTCTCTCGTGAAAACCGAATTGATTTGCAAATGAGGGTATTTCTCGAATACTGATGGACTAGTTTTACTCTGCGGGTTCACCAGAGCCATTCTGATTTCGCTTCGAACAGAGACAAACGGGGCTAAAGGCTGTGCAACGTATCATGAAAAACCCTGTGACCGATTTTTAAAAACAAAGTGAAATTGGAAACATCATGTTTGTGTATTCTCAAACTGTTGCGTTGTCGTCGAACAACGACTCCCATTTGAATAGGAAACTGACTGAACTCGCCAATGTTGGTCGCCCATATGAGGCAGCCCCCTAAAAGAGATGCTGTCTCATTGAAGATGAATATATCCGAAACCATCGCATGAGCTTCAAGAGTTGTTTAACTCATTGTCAGATGTTCTCTTTATTAATCAGTCAGTAAACACTACTACTTATGAGGTCGCTGAAAGCACTTTGGTAACCAGTCATCCATTCCGTACTTTTTGGACCTATCGGACACGCACAGTCCATGAATTTCCATAAGTTATATTCTATACTTAAACAGCGAATTGAAATTACACCCGAGGCACCACAAACGGGGGGTTCACTTAAGTCTCAACATCTCCGTATGGAAATGAGTGTCAACCGCTGTTCTTTCAGTTGTCTCACGCAAATTTTGTCCACAAAAACAAACCGAATTTAAACGTTACCATGGATTAGAGATGGTATACTGAATCTTCTCCGTGACCCTCCACTTCGAGAACAGTTGTAACGCTTCAGAGGTTCCCTTGCGGTTGTGGTCAGATTGCAAACAGGCTCCTAGAAAGGTAGAATTATCGAGTTTTTTTTCGAGTGATTGGTGCTTAGTATGAGGTATCCCTGGCACGAAGTTTGTGTGAAGGAGGAAGAGATGTGAATTTGCAGGTATTCAAGTGCTACTGGCATCTGAATGGCATAAAATCAAAGCCGCTTATCAGTTCGCCGGTTTTCCTTCAGCACACAAGATCATTAACGCCATAACTCATTGTTTTGAATGGAAGTGTTGAATTCCCCTGCTTTGTTGTAAATTAGCAGAAATAGATCGGTTACGGATGTTTTTTTCCCTTAGTGTTTGTTGTTGAGTAGGACTCTCTAGTCATTACATCGTCCATCCGGTTGTGATAAACCAGCTCATGGTAGGCGATTCATTACGGGCCGTTTTGTCATGCTTCAATTTGTCGCAAACCAAATATTTGCCCAGGTTATTTATGTTCGTGCAATTTGTTGCCTGTACAGTTCACAAACAGCCGCATTATACTACGCTTACTCGAACATTTTGTAGTGAACTCATGTGTTTCGCGGCGACAATTTTTCCCCACGAATTTAGATAGATAGATTTCTTTACTCCTAAAGTTGTCACACAGGCAGCACCAAATGTGTTGCCCTCAAAAAGGGGAAGTTTGAAGCTAATCTTGAACGGACAATGATGTGGTGTAAAGGGTTGATAAAACACATTGTTAGACAATGCCAGCAGTTCTTCAGACCCACTGATTTGCATTCTATCCTATTCTCTTCTGAATGAATACAATATCATCTTGATCAAATAACTCCACAGAAGCATGAGATCACGCTGATAAAAATATAGTGTAATCGTTTAGCTGTAACACCGTTCTGGCACTCAGCTGTCATGCCACTCGAAGAATGCACGAGGTCTGGGATACTGTTAGGTTGCCCAGGCCTAGACAGGGACGGTCAAGATGCAGAGGTCAGACTCGAACCACGGAGCTTCTGGTCAGTAGATTTGCTTCTTAACCACTGACCTATCTCGACCATGCCATTAAAAAGACTCCTGTCTACTGGTGTCTAAATGTCCTGGTCTGGAAGACAGG